CGACGTTTGAATTGTCCGGGTCAAAGGTCGAAACGTCTGGGTTGCAAGTTTGAGCTTCAAGACATGTTTGAGCGAGCCCCTTGTCCCGAACGCGACTTTGTTGTTCATCCGGTCGCGACGCGTCCAAGGTACACCTCCACATATTGAAGTTAAAGTTTAATTTAACTCGACAATCCAAGTTCTCGCATCCACCCAAAAAAAAGAGCGCAAAGAACAGTAAAATGAATATTCATGCAACCATAACTGAACTATGATATATACTTGAAGTGGCAAAACATACAATACGCAAACGAAAAAGATGAGAGTCGGTCATGGCGATGAGCTAAGGAGTGTGGGGCACTACGCTGGTAGAGCAAAGAACATATGATAAAGATGTGCAAGATATGATACGATACGATACGTGACAGAATGTGCAGAGAACAGATTGAGATGGTGATGGTGACGCAAACGAAATATCAGCAGAAAATAATGCAATGCGAGGCAACAGTGGGTGGAGTGGGAACGGCGGGAATCAAGCTCAAGCAAGGAACCCCTCGGCCTCGTACAACCCCCTGTAGACCCGTCCATGGAAACTAACAAGCTTTGCGATGCGCTCTCCGAGGTGCCGGATCTCTGGCATCAGCGGCTCTAGCCCAGCAGCAACCGCCGGCGCTCCAGCTCCGACATCCTCCTCCTGCGCAGACGCCGGCCGGCGAACACATCGTCCGACAACATCCCCAACTGCCCGCTCGAGCCGGGCTTTCAACAACCGTTCCAACGGCGCTCCGGTTTTCAAGTTGGTCTCCATCCAGCTCTCGAGTAGCGCAAGCGTTTGGGCGTCCGGAAGCGTAGGCACGCGCTTCTCGCCCTCCTCCGGCTCCTCAGAGAGCGAAACACCCCGTCGGACCTCCTCGGCCCGCACAGCAACCTGCAACACCACATCCCTCATTCCAGCCCTCCATTTCTCCCACTCGGCACTCTCCTTGCCCTTTCCAGCCGGGAGCGAGAAGCAAAGCCCAAGCCTCGCAGGACCGACCTCCCAAATCTCGCGCTTCACCCGATCCACCACCGAATCCTCCAGCACAACCGGCTTCCTCCGCCCAGCTCCAGATGCACTGGATCCAGAGTTGGAGAACACGAGTTGGCGGAAGAGCATGAGCAGCATGTAGAGCACGCTCAAATCGGCTGCGTCGGCCGTCAGACCCGCGAGTCTCGCGTGGTCGAGATAGAGTGTCTCGGGATAGCCGGGCGGAGGTGCGATGTGGGGAAGGCGCTGGGAGAGCGGTGTGGTCGTCGGTGGGGGCGGAGTCGAGACGGTTGTGGGCGGAGAGAAGATCAGCGAGGTGAGGGCGTGGGCGAGAAGAGGGAGCGTCGGTGGTGGTGTGGAAGATGTGGAGGGGTTGGCAGCAGTGTACGCAACAGCGGCTTTTCGGAGCCATTCTTGTGTCGTCGTGAGCGTCAACAAGCCGCGCTCGTGTCGTTCCTGGAACGTCTTGAGCTCAAACTCGACAGCGGTCTCAAAGAGATATGGCCTCAATGCCTGGAGCTGGTGGTTCGCAATATCCTGTACGTCGCGTAAGCCAATGATCAAACGAAAGAAACGAGAGACGTACGAGTTTCATGAGCTCGAGAATCTCAAGACACATGCGGACAGCGCGAACGCCTCCACCCGGTCGAGCAGCAACGCCGACCATCGTCTCGACCGCACGGTCGCGCATCGGTGCACAGTGCTGCTTGAGCACAGCGCCGAGCGTCTTAAACACCCCGCGCGAATCGAACACGCCGTGGCGGAGCTCCTGGGCAATGAGCGCCGCATCCGCCGTCGCGGTGTGCACGACACTCTGCAGGACCTCGCACAGCTCGGTCACCAGTGCGGGAATGCGCGACGGGTGCGCGGGGCGGGAAGAGCCGGAGCCAGAGGAGCCGCAGACGCATGGGAGGCGACGGCCGCGTTCGTCAAAGCTGGTGCAGGTGCAGCCGGACTCGATCTCGATGCGGACGGCTTCCCAGTACTTTTCAGTGAGCTCGCGCTTTTTGCGACCCGAGGTGGGACGGAACTGCAGGCCGGGATCGAAAAGGAGGTCGTGTCCTGGGGTCATGTGAGCGAGAGAAATGAGAGAAAAAGACGGGGACTTACGGAGCTGGGGGTTGCGGAGGATGGCCTCGAGGTCGAGTTCCTTGAGGGTCTCGCGGGTGATGAGAGGGGTGAGGCTTGGGATGTGTGCGACGGAGCGGGTGGGCGAGGGGCGCACAAGGGGCGTCGAGGGCGAGCGCAGTCGGGTGTCTGATGAGCGCACAGGCGAAGAAAGCGTAGAGGTCGAAGTCGGTACACGCAAAGGTAGAGCGCTGCAGACAGGGCGGGAGACGTCGTGGGTGGCCATGCGTGTGGTCGGGGAGGAGGCAGCAGACGCGGGGCGGGCTATATTCTGGCTGGGGGCGGCCGCGTCGGTGGTGAGCTGAGGCGGGGACGCGGGTGATGCGGTCTGGACGCCGTTGGCGCAGACGCCGCTTGTGCTCGGACCTTGGGTCGGTGCAGGCTGTTTCGCGTTAGCCGCGTCGCTGGCTGGCTGGACTCGGACTCACCTGCTCGTGCATCTCAACGTCGGTGTGCGCGTTCGAGCCCAGATTAGGAAGTGAGTTTGCGCGGCGCCGCTTCTGCGGCCTGTCGTCGTCTGGGAGCTCTGCGTTCGGTGCGCACGGGGACGCCGCGGGGGTGGGGGTCTCAAGGTCGTACTCGTCAAAGGCCGCGTCGTCGAACTGGGAGTCGGCCTTGCGCTTGGGGGGGCGGGTGTGGGGATGGGCGAGGGTGTGCGGGTGCGGGTGTTGCTGGAGCAGTTGGTCCATCATCAGAGCCGACAGAGAGAGTTTGTGTGCTGTCCTGCACCCGCCCGCCCCCATTTATCCTCTCCTTTTGCTAGACCCGGCTCTCTGGGCCACCACAGGGCCACCCCAACCCAGCCCCTGCCGCACTTCCCCAAAAGGCTAGCTCCCGCCACCAACACCACCGACGCCGCCACAGCGCCCAGCCCGCCACCGCTGCCCCCGTCGTCGCTGCAGCTCACATCGCCACCACCGTCGCGCCCACCGTCGCCGCCGCCGCCCTCTGCGCGAACCGAGGCACGGGCTCAGACGTCATGAGTCCAGATCGCCATCCAGGCTTATCATCCACACGTGTCAATACCCACCCCTACCGTGCGACGCTGGCTCTCCTCGCCCTCCCATCGACCAGGTTGCCCATCGCCTCCGTCTGCCATCTCATCACACCGCAACACCGGTCATCTCACTCCCCTCCCTCGGACCAAACCTTCTCCCGGCCCAGAACTCTCCACCGCAAGCCCCGCACTCCACATATGCTGCCTGTCCACTACCCGGCTGTATCCCGGATGCGCGCATTCCGCATCAGGCTGACGCTGCCTGCCCAACCGTGCCGCCCGCACCGTCTCCATGTGCAGCCGCCGCTTCCCTGACGTCAACCCACGCCGGCCAGGTCTAGACACTCATCACGAACATCAATCAGAATACACGACCCTCGCCCACAAAGTATGCAGAACCCATCCGCATCCGGCCATAACCACGCGCGCCTTGTTTCCCCGCACACGTATCCTGCAACACTAACCCTTACACTCGATAACCCAGACTCTTGCTATCACCGCCCCAGATCCTAGATCACCTACGACCCCTCCTCGTTGGGCGTAATCTCATTCTCCCCACACAACGCGGGGTGCTCCTATGCGAGGCGAGGGCTCTCGCTCACGAACCTCCGATGTAATACCAGCTCCTGTTCGTCTTCCAATAATGTACACTACCCCAGCGCATCAATTACATTTCGCGTCGCGATTCTTCTCGAGTCGCACCCGCATCGGGTGGCCTGTGACGCACTGCTCAGAGCACGCTTTGAGTATACAAGCTATTGATCTTTTTTCTCCGGCTCTAGCGCCGCCGAAGGCTCAATGATATGCGGAGCTGTGTCTCTGGCTGCACGCTGCACTTCTACGCGCCCGAGTTGCATGCTGAAGACTTGCCGCTCTGACGACACGCCATCGCCCTACGACGCCGCAAGCCCTCATACTCAGACTGCACGCCGCGCTATAACCCCTACCCCTAGCGCTCTGACTCTTCACCGGAGCCCCACTACACGTTGTATCCCTACGCGCTTTGACTGAACACCAAATCCCCTACGCGCTCCAGATGAACACTACGCCCCTAACACGCTTCGTTTAGCCCCTGTGAATTCAGCCCCTCTTTCAATACGCCCTTGCACTAAAGCACACCATCCCATACTGGACTACTCATTCGGCCCCGATCCCGGCCAACACCGACACGCCCCCCATTCTGATGGCAAATTATACGCATAGGCAGACTAGGCCGCCTATACTCGACGCATCACCGCACGCACATGCACCCCGTCTTATCTCTCAAAAACTAAAGAGCTCGGAGCCGCACACGACCATATACTCTACGCATACAAGGCGGTTCATAAACCCATTAATCATCCTACCTCTTCCTACCACCCATCCCCGCAAGTACGCGTACGTTCATCCGCCCCCGCGGAGAAAATTTCCCATGACGACCCGAGGATTTACCCGAACCGCAACGCCTGGAACAAATCTGGTGCCTGGAGCACACGCCACGACTGTTTCATCTGGGAGACACGCGCATCCGAGCTGAGCGGTCCTTTCCCAGCTCCAACACAGGAATCGTAATGAGCCGTACTCGATCGGCTCTTTTTTGGACCGGCTCTTTCGAGTCGAGGCGTATCAGAAATTGAACATAACATGGGACCTCGAGTTTTGTGTATTCGTGTGGCCGACTCGGCTCGGCAGGCTAGCTGGCTCGACTCAAATGTGTAGCTACGACCGACTAGGTAGGCTATTTGGAAGCGTCTCGCGTGCGACGGGAGTATTTGTTTACCCGCTAGGCAGATGATCAGCCGACGGCTCCTAGCCGCACCAATGCATCTGAAAGAACGCGTCCGGTCCCGGGCCGATCCCACCAAGACCCAAGAAGGAAGAAAATTTCGGTCCCTCTTAGCTCAGTGGTAGAGCGCGTCACTAGTACGCGACATTCGGCTGTACGTCGGGACAGAGTACATGACGAGGTCATCTGTTCGATCCAGGTAGCGGGAATATTCTTTTGCTCTTGCTTTTGCCAGAGGCTAGATGGGTGAACGTGTATGCGAGACTTTGTTCAGTGGGGCTGTTTTTAAATAGGTTGCCAAGACGGATGCTTGTGGCGCGTTTGAAACCCATGTGGGGCACGCGTGCGGAGTGTTTGAACCTGACGATCTGCATGAAAGAATGAAATGCAGGTGGACCTGTGGTCTACCCAGCATATCTGCTAATTAATTAACCATGCGCAAACGACCTGTATAAAATTATCTCAAAAGACATTTGCGCCTACGTAATCGATTGTGCCTGCCTAGGACCTAAACTGCAAAGCGCATATAATTACACCGACCCGGGTCCGCACGAACGACAAGGTTCACTCGCCGCACAAACAAGGTTTTGGGCACTAATAGCGCACTGCTGTGTGGTTCTCGACCCTCTCCGACGGTACTAGCCCACGATCCATCCAGGGGGTGTTCGCAAGAGTCCAGACCGGTGCCCTAGCTCGCAAGGAATGAGATCATACAGGGCCGGCAACTCATGCTTCCTAATAGGTTAATTCCTTAATTTGGTGTATTTTTGTGCTGAAATGGAGGGCTTGCCCTGTGGGGTCGTTGTAAAGGTTGCCCCTTCGCGGGTCTGGAATGCCAATCTAGCTCGGAAGGGGTGAGGAATCTGTATAAAGTGCTAGAAGAAAAAGCCAGGCGGGACGGGGGTTGTGGCCTCAACTTCGCTTTGACCTCGTTCCTCCCCTCTTTGTTTTTCTCCTGTCTATCTGTGCTTGTCGCTCGTGGCTTTTGTGCAATACATCTGTCTAGGGGGTGGATGTGCTCTGGTTCTGGTTGCTCTGATCTGGGACTGGGACTGCCGCCGGGATCCTTTGTTCAAGCGTGGGGGTGGACAGAGGGCGACAGCGACAGCGGGAGAGAGGGCGTCCGGTAATCAATAGTGCGTACAGCGCTTATCTTCTCTCTTTCCTCTTTCCAGGTCTTTCCCCTATTCTCTATGTCGTTTTCCGGACGTGTGAGTTCTCGGAACAGTGCTCACATTCACCCCAACCCCCTGATCGACGCTGAATATATTTTTCCTCCAAAAGGAAACTGGCGTGTAGGTTGGGGGATGGCGGGCTCCGGTAAAGTAGCCCGGTTTCTAATTCTAATTCTGAAATTCCCCGTCGTTGACCGTTGACGCCGGGAACGATGCCCTCGGGAACGGATGTGACGTTTTAGAAGAATGCCGGAAACGGGTTTCTCACCGAGGGGCGTATTTTTGTTTCGGAATTTGTTGGTTGCCGGAGTCGGTCAACAACGGGATGGTGCTGACGGCCTGTGTGTGAGCTCTAAGCTAACCACACGGACCGTATAGCCATAGGGCGGTAGAGGCAGCTAGCTTTGCGGTATCTGTATATTTCGTGCTGTGAGCACACGAGTCATGGGTCTCGAACGAACTGGATCTTTAGAATACGGAGAAGGCCGAGCCTATAGTGCAAGATATCTATGTCCGGTATCCCGAACCGATGCATGTTTCCCACGATTCATACCCGAGAAGAGCGGAAATTAAAAATGACAACAACTAACCCAAGCCTAAAGCGAGAGGGTGTGAAAATCAAACGCGGTGAGGCGGGACAGTCAGGTCCAGGGTTTTTGTGTCTGTGTCTGTCCTGGCAGCCCGTGAGACATCTCAAGCGATGACGGGAAATGTGAGCTGGTTGCTGAACCCTAAAGCTTCGTTTGTGAGATCTGTTGCCCTTGAGAGATAAAGTTTTGGAATCGAGCGCGTGCGCGTGGGTAGGTTTGGCGGCTCACCGGGTGGGAGGTGTGCTGCGCCACATATTGGTGGCATAGCCACCGGGATTAGTCTTTGCTTAATTTGAGGTAGTTTACCAGGCTTGCATGACGGTGGTGTAACGCGCTGCAGCTTTGCATAAAGATGCACACAACAGCCCTGTAGCAGCTAGATTCTAATTGATGCGGATAAATACATCTTTTTGTAACAGAGAGGCTTGGTGCGGCAGTCTGCATGAGACTTGTTACCTAATTAAGGAATAATTTCCTTCTGGAGGCAAGTTGTACCCACAGCGAGTGTCAGATATATGTTCCCGCGTATCTCACTAGAGATTCTTCCTTCTGTCAACCAGATCTGTCTAAGCACGTGCGCATTTTAGCGTGCGACGTTTGGCGCGTGCGGCGCGTGGTCATATGATGACGGTGTGGGTCCTCTCCCAGCTGGCCACCGGTCAAAGCTAAATCTGTATACAAGACTCAAATACCTTCGGCTCATGCCTCTTCCTACCGGACCATCAACCGTCTAGCGGGCCAACAAAATGCGCTTCGGGCCTTGGGTCACATTTATCGGACAGCTGGCTCCGAACTTCAGACCCCATGATCAGTCAAACACCGTACGACGATCCAGGCCAAGCGACAGTTACATACTATATGCCTCACCCCCTCTTCGCTGACCGAGCCGCCACGCGCCGGATAATATGGACCTGTCGCGCCCGGACCGGTCGCAGCTCACATTCCCGAACTCGACTGCGCGCCCGTCGCTCATCGAGTCATAGTCATATATGCGCCCATTTCGCTCGGTTGCTTGGCCTCTCCATGAACCGAGACAGCCTATAGGGGCTTCGTGCGGTGGCGTGGCAGCGTGAGGCGTTGAAACTCGCGAGCTGAACAAGTGAGGTCTAAAAAGATGAAAATACATGCGGTCTGAAATGACGATCGTCTGACGAAGGAGTCGTGTGCGGATCATGAATATTAGCGTTATATTAAATCAGCAAAATAGCTTTTAGTGCTTGTTGCGACTTGCGTCTATATCTCGCATCAGGCTCGGAACCGTTTCGAGTTATGGTTGTGCTGGGCATCAAGCTGAGCGAGCATGTATGTCATGACTCCAGGACTACACAGTGCTATCGATCGTGACGTTTTTGACATCATCAAAGCGTATCTGAGCAAAAGAAAAGAGTCTGCGAGGGATATGGGCCGTTGACGGGAGCGAGAATATCTTGCTCAGGGACGGATAGCTTTGAAAGCACCGACCCCGAGATGATGGCGCACGTACCATTAGAGGGTGGCCGGTCCTAAAGAAGGATATCTGAATCGGGCGCAGCCTGGCCACGAGCACCGACGCGCACTGTGCGCGCCGATCGCTGCCCTAGGAAACCCCTGTTGAATTTACCACGGCATGTTTTCAGCTGATGAGCCAACCTTCAAGCTTCAGCACCCCAATTATCGCCGTTGACACGGACCTGAGTCTGAGTTCTCTTGATAACATGAACGTCAAGGCTGGTTCGTAGGAAACACCTCTGGCGATCGGTCTGACGCATGAATCGTACCGTCCATAGCCACCTCGTTTGTGCCAGGCGTTGGTGGCCAGTTGGTGGCGCGTTCACGTGACCTTCAGTGGCCTGTCGAATCGTTCAAGGCGTGTTTCTTTCCCACTCGACTACTCCGGTAACACTACTCAATCTTAGAACAGTTGGGATCACATGAGTAGCTCTCTTGCTAAGAACTACACCATTGAAACGTATCGTTAGATCTCATCTGCCGAATGTCTGCTATTCGACTTGCGTAAGTCGGTTCAATATCGTAAAATTTGCTCGTATTGACAAAATGTTCGGAGGTTAAACTTTGGTTGGTAAAGACACATGTGCAGATTTTCTTTTTCGAATGATGCGCCTTGTGCGCAACTTGTGCTGGCCTAGACCGCCCGACTCGTCATCCCGCCTCAACTGACATGGGACCGGAACGGGTTTGACAGTCCCCCGCAATCGCAGTCAGCCGCCGGCTCTGACACAATCTAGGCACTTTGCGACCCTAGTAATCTATCCTAGTACTTCTTGCATGTTATAGCTTGCAACGGCACTTTGCCCTCATGGGTATCTTGCTTTGACCTGCCCCTTTGGTTCCCACAGCACCGAACTTACTTAGCAGCTGGGGTATCTACCTAAGCATCTTCAATTGAAAAGCCCCGAATGGCGCTTGGAAGTGCTGGGCACTCTGCAAGCTTGGTCGGCGCGCTCTGTGTGCTGCTGGTTTTCAACCCTGGATCCTCTTGTTATGGATAACAGTGAGCAGTGCAGTTGATCCAAGGCAGTTATACTGAATATACAACCTGTGTACGGCGAACGGCCCTGTCTAAGCTCTGCAACCCTCGACTCATGTCATCTGGTTGCTCTCGCGCGTACTACGCCGACAGTTGATATCGAGGCGGCATCGCATCTGGAGTCGCAGACTTCTAGGCAGATCTTCTCATACTTTAACAGGCTTACTCTTGCGATGGTCTGTTGCTGCTTGGTTCTTGCATAGTCACTTGGGTGCACGGGTCGCCTGTTATCAATCCTGTAATCCAGCTCAACTCAGCTCGCACCGTCGGGTAGTCTGCGCGGCCGCATCCGAACCTTTGCTCTCAGTTTGCTTCCTGGATATATTCAGTAACTCCCCGCACTTTCTCCTCTCGATCGAAATTTTATATTAAGTCTAGCGACCATTTGTTCTCGGCGCGGGATTTGAACTGGCTGTGCAGGCGATGTCAAAAAGGAAAATTTGCGACTAGCCCGACCGTTTTTTCAGCTCTATTTGGTGGCGCATAGACAGAAAGTTGGAATGTTTGATGCATGTCAACAATGTACTAACGCGTTATGCTCGGAGCCTTCAACCATTCCGGGTTGAATCCACCGAGCTGTCTTCGTTGTCAAGGTAGTCGCGACGATAATGTGGACGCTGTGTCGAAGTTCTGGACTTTCTCAATCCAACCCTTCCAACTGCGTTGGATCGACATTTGGCATAGGTCCCGCAACGACAAAGGCTGGAACTTGGAGATTGTCCGGTTATACTCCTATACGCACCGTCGTTTGTCTGAAGTCCGAGTTCCGGCTGGCAACAGGGGTGGCGTGGATCACTCGAGGATACAAATCGTCTATTACACGGCTGAAAGTCCTTGTATAAATGCCAAGCGTAAAACATATACAGCAGTCGTATGGATATAGAGTATGGTGCGACTACATTGACCAGAGAGAATGA